GGCACGCACGCACATGCACCCGGCGTGAGTTTAAGCCGCCGGGTCCGGGACTCGAACCGTGGTCGACTACGTGGGAGTCCAGCAACATAGCCATTACGCTAACTGCTGGTCCCAAGTAAGGAAAAGTTTAATAACACTGATCCGCAAGGGAAGGTTCTGGGTTGTAATCCGGAGATGTCTCTAAATATTCCAGGTGCAACTGAGCCCACGATCTGCACTGGCTGAGACTGGGGGTAAATTGCAGAATGCGGTGTTGGGTGTGCTGTATGTCTCTCTCTCTGCATCTCTCATTAATGGAAGACATAAACTTTAAAAAACTGGGGCTGGTGGGGACCAGCAGTTAGCGTAATAGCTATGTCGCTGGACTCTCATGTAGTTGATCTCGGTTTGTGTCCCAGACCTGGTGGCTTAAAACTCATGCCAGGCGCATGTGTGTGCATGACCAAAATCCAGAGAGGAGGGAACCAGCAGTTACCATAATGGGTATGTCACTGGACTCCCACGTAATCAACCGCGGTTCATGTCCCAGATCCGGTGGCTTAAAACTCACGCTGGGCGTGTGTGCGTGCGTGCCCAAGATCCTGAGAGGAGAATGGAGAAGGGATTGCGGCGTGACCATCCCCTGTGGGGGGTGATTTCTCACTTTCTGTCTCTATGTCTTTGTCTGTCTGGCGAGGGCACGCGCCCTATAGCGAAAACCTCTCCAAATAAATAAATAAATAAATCCAGAGAGGAGAACAGAGGAGAAGGGATTGTGGCATGGCCGTCCCCCCAGGGGATGATTTCTGGCTTTCTGTCTCTGTCTGGCCAGTACACACGCCCTATAGCAAAAACCACTCAAAAAAAAAAAAAAGGGCCGGCAGGTGGCCTGGTGATTAAGGGCACTGGACTCCCATATGACCAACTGCAGTTCAAGTCCCAGACCTGGCAGCTTGCTAGCTTGCTTTCTCACTTTCCCTCTCTCTTTCACTCTATCGGTCTGTTCCTCTCTGGTCAAATTAGAATAAATAAAGTTCAATAAAATACTTCTTAAGAAAAAAACAACAAAAAAGAAATTAAAAAAATAAATTCTGGGTGTATGTGCGTGCCGTGCCTCAAATTGTGAGAAAATGGAGGAAATTAGAAAATGAGAAAATGTTGTCTCTGGTGAGCACACCCGCAGTACAGCAAAAATCTCTCTAAAAAACAATAAACAAACAAATACATATTATGGGCTGTTGGCTACTTTCCAAATGACTAAACATGACTGCCTACTCATCTCTTTCCAATATCGGTGCAGTCTGATTTTGGACAGGTCTCTCCATAGTCAAGGCATTCCCCAGCCAAAAAGACATACCTATTTCTCAGATTGAGGTTTTGGAGAAAAAGAAGAAAAAAAGCTCTTAGGAACTGCACTTTTATGATGGAAAAAAGCGGGCTGACCATGGGACCAAATATCTGAAAAAACAAACTCTCTCAAGCCCACTGCCAAGACGGCCAGCATTAATTCACCCCAGGCAGTGAAGACGAGCAGGACTGGCGGTGAGGACGCTGTGTGGGTTGTCAGGCTGCACATAGCGCGTCCACCCGCTCATTACACATTCACCGAGCTACGGCTGGAGAGGACCTCGCCAGTCCCTGCCGGTTCGCCCCTGCTCCGCCAAATGAACGCAAACCCAGGAGCCCGGGAGTGCCTGCCTGCACGTAGTAGGCTCGCACCGAGTAGTGAGGTACGCCTCCAGGGACGAAAGCACGTGGCCGAGGTCGGGAGGGGGCGGTCGAGCGATGCAGGGCAGCTGCGGGCTTCGGAGAAGACCAGCTGTCTCTCCAGATACAGAGGAGAGTTTGGGGGCGTTTAGGGCAAGGTAAAGAGTGGGGAAGAGTTAGGGGACCCTCCGGCTGATAACGCTGCGTCGGGAAGCAAGACGAGTGCAGACAGCGGGATCTGAGCCTGCCCGGCTACACTCCGCCGCGCCCCCGCGGGCACCATCCTTAACCGAGTATCGCGGGCTTAGACCGCGGCTGGGCCGCTTTTCCCCTGCGCGCTGCTTCTCTGGGCGGGGCCGCGGGGCCCCGGGGCTGGGGCGGGGGCCGGCCGAGGGCTGGCCGCGGAGCTCGGGCGGCCGCGGGGAGGCCGCGGACTTACCCGGAGCCTGGGAGGGCGGGCT